TTTGCTGCTTTTTTTATTTTAAAAGTCCAGTATATAGGATTTAGTGGAATTGCAGTGTAGATGCATCACACTTCCCTTTCCATAAGCGAACCAGAAGTATGGTGGCCATGAAACGCACGAAAAACGCAAACACCACTATCTAGATTCATAGAAACATGGCAGTTCAACATGGCTGACTCCATGGATGGTGATCCAACGTGTCTGTAGATATAAAAGGCTTATTCAACATAATGAAAATATAATGCTTGTTACTATCAGGTTATTCTCTAATGAAAACCTGGTTGGGCAAAATATATTCAATTTCTGCCAGTAAATTGAATTAAGTTACACACTGGACCTTTAATATTTATAACAAGTTGAATTTATTTCAAATCATATTGGGATTTGTACTATTGGATTGGTTGGACAAACAAGTATTGTGAAGCTGTCACTTTGGGTAATTGTGATGGCATTTCTCACTATTTTCAGATTTTTTATAAACCAAACACTCAATGGATTAGTGGAGAAAATTGTCAGCAGATCAATCCATAATGAAGATAATCATTAGTTGCAGTCCTTTACAAAATAGTTTAGAATTAGCTCTACCTCAACCAGATACAACCCTGAAACCTTGTTTTTACATTAATGCATGAGTAATAATGATCATATATATATATAATATATAATAGTAAACAGTCACAGGGGACACATCTTTCTGCATTGACTTTTAACACTTTGTGGACATTTTCCTTATTATACCTACATACTTTTACTTGAGTATTTTCATTGTGTGGTATTGGTATTTTTACTTAAAAAAAACTGCAAAATATAGAAAAATATAAAATATTTTTATTTTACAAATAATTCTGATTATTTTAAAGGGGTACTACAGTGATTTATTACTGTTCAAATTACTTCTCAAAATTGATGCAGCAGAGGCAGCAATACCCTAACTTTAAAACCCTATGATACTCCAAAAACAAAACAACAAAAACTCTCAATCCTTCTGTTTTCATTCTGCAACTGGATACCATCTTAGATTGTGTGAAAGTAAAACAATTTACATCATTAAATATATTTTGTCTGTTGGAAGAGCTTTTGCTGATCAAGTTTCAAGCTTTTTATCAATCTGCACTCGATGAATGAATCCCAACAAGCAACCAAGCCCTCTGTTTGATGCTAACAATCTTGAGGACTAAGCACCATCTATTGGTCATGTTCAGAAACACAAGCAGTCTGCAGATCCTGGCCTCACTGAACTAGTCTGTGCACTAGAGGGTGGTGTTGTCTTTCTCTCCTTTGTGGAACCAGTGCTCCGTTTTGAAATCAGTGCATTGCTCTGTCACATTATAAATACATAACTTACAGGGTAACAGTCTATTCTGTCATTTATTTGAGTTTACATTTTAATTTTACACAGCTGGAAGGGGGAAATGATCTATTTCTGTGTAACGCTAAATATTGCCCACAAATATTGACATTTTAAATAGGTTTGATTTCTGACCCCCAGTGAGCAATAAACAGCTTTTACAGTTGTTCTAATAAGAGGCTGTGTATTTTATTGCTGGTTGTATGAGAAATGCAATACAGTAATATTTGTTGGCAATGTTTGTGGGAAACATTCAGATATAAAGGGAAGCTTTGTAGTGACCCCCCTTTTTTAAAAATGCAGGCGTGCTTGTTCAGTCTCTACTGTACTGGTTCACTTGTTCACATGGGAAGTTTTCTGTGTGTTTTTCTGTACCAGAAACAGACACGTTTTGTTCTTCTGCTGCTGCCGGGCATTCAAGCGAAATTCTTCTGAAGCCGCATTTCACTCCATTAAAACTATTTCTGAGAAGCCATGAACATATTAACCTTTGGAAAAGGCTGCTGCTGTCATCTGTGATGTCTCCAGTCACACTCTCTTTCTGTTTTAAGAAAGGTCATGGGCTAACTAAATGTCCCTGGGCTAACTTCTCTAAATCAATGACATTTGGCTGGGGAAAAAAATCTGCCGTGGACAATGAAAATACACACTGTGTTGCATGTTAATTTCTTCTTCTACTTAAACTTGATTAGAAAGAATTAGAGCTACAGTTTGTGTTCAATTTAACGCACAAATAAGCACGGCCTCCGTACAAACCTGCAGGAAGAGGCATATTGCTAAGGATTTGTGTGAATGCAGCTGCTTTATCCTTAGTCAGACACACAGACCTGCAGGTCTTTACACATCCATGACACAGACAGAGAGAAGAGGCGAGAGATGGAGACAGCGATATTGTCTGCTCCTTATGCTTTTATAGTTTATAGAGTCCTGACTTCACACATTGCACACTGCCCATAGGTTGACACCCATAAACATCCAATGCTGCCACAAACTTCTAACAGGTCATAAGTGATGATACAGACAGTTTGTTTTTAAGTCACATAGTGTATGAGTGTGTGTTTTTTAGGGGAAAATCCCATTCATTATGTCTTTAAGTTATCACAGAGAGTAGCACATAGACTTTGCCAGTTTTCACTGGCTCTATGTTGAATCCTATGCTGTCTGAATAATTTGAATGTTGCTATAATCTCATAAAAAGTGTAGACATAGTGGCTTTAACATCCTGAGTGCCAAGCAAATACATTTGGACAGGCACCTTATTTATCAGCTAACAACATACTCATCAGAAAATTAAGTTGTGTTGAAGTACAGATTCTCTAGCACAGATTTCATTTTCATGCTTTAATTTGCACATTTAATCAATATTATATTTCATGACTTTTTGGGGGAGAAGGTTTTGCACCAGGTCAGAGCTGGGTCACCAAATGAAAAACAGAGATAATAAAGATTCAGTGGCCTCCTTACTGACACGACAGCGGGACAGATTGACTATAATTTGCCAGTTATAGTGTTTGTCATAATTGTTTATGAAATGTATGATTACATGTTATGTGTGGTTTGTGCGACACACAAACATATAAAGGTAAAACTTTAAATGTTTGGCAAAGGTAGAGGGTGATTAAAACGTAACTGCTGAGAAATAATCAGAAGATAACGTTTTATTTCTCTGATTTACTAGCTGATCTCTCTTGAATAATACAGAAGAAAGAAGATGGAAAAACAGTTTGGGTTTATTACTCTGACCTTTCTCTAAATGTCGCCAACAAATGATAGCAAATGATGTGATAACACATTGGTTATAATAACATGATCATACCAATAAGACCAAATAATTTGTATCACTGTGGATTGCAGACTGCTCTATGAACAACTTTAAATACTGTTAAATATTTAATAAAAGTAATCATATATATAAGCAATACACAAACCAATCACACACTATGTTTTGCCTCTATAACAGATTGCCTATTGTAGCTATACTTGTAGAGGTGCTGCAGAGATTATACAGTGCCACTATCTGCTAAATAATTCCTCTCATCCCTTTAAACTTCTGTGTATTCTTGGTGGGTTGTGGTATCGATTAGCCTGTTGCGTGCTGATAGCCAGCAAGAGAGATGGAAAACTCTCAAACAGTAACCACAGAGGCCGCTATGATGGACCATGATGCTCCTCATTGATCCCTCTGATTGACTGTTGAGAGACAGTCATTCTCTCTCAGACAAACAAGGAGATGATAAACGGCAGAAGCCTGCATGCTAAGCTAAGCTTATGTGTCACTTAAAAAAAAAAGTGTTTTTAGTGTTTTAAAAAGATTTGCTTCCACACATTGCGGGGAGTGAAGCAGACATTTGACATTCAGGCTTTGTTCAAATACTGAGGAACCAACGAGCATCAGAATGAGGAGCGTAGGAGGAAGAGGAGTGGGATTGATCACCCAGCCTACCTAGTCGAGGAAATGAATTAATGACCTTGGGTAAAGTCATCCATCCCTGTGACAGCTACTGGGAGTCAACTCTCTCTCTATATAAAAAAAGGTACATCTTATTCTCTGTCAGCCCACATGTTTCTTCATTCAGTGAAATTTTACCTTTCAAAAAAAATAAAACATCAGGTCAAATGTTTATTCAGACTCATTTATTTATGTGTCACAATATTGTCCTTTTAAACCCTGTAAATGCTGTTGCAATTACCACCAGAAAAATGGTTATAAATATGAACAACAATCCTGATCTTAACTCCATTAAATACATAGTCTTTCAGCTTTTAAAGCGTGTATAAACTTCAGTGCAGTCTTTATTGTTATGTATGAGCTGAGGTGTTTGTTTTTTTTTTATCAATGACTGAGTGCTAGTATTCTCTGAAGAAATAAACTGCCTTCACTGGACATTTTTGTTTACAATTTATTGCGTCAGAGAGACTGCCAGGCACAGAGCCCATTGTCTATATGAGCCTGTGACCAGTCAATCACTGCTGGGTCAGCAAGGGTCCCAGCTGTCCAGATGACGTAGTGTAGGCTACTAAACGAGCCACCATATGGAGCCGACAAGCATGCTGGTATATGAAGTCCTAGAGTTAGTGTTTTTTAAATTAACTGAATGATATTTTCATTCAGTTAATTTGCATCAGTATTTCCAGGAGTGGTCTCACTGCTTATGTCTCAGAGAGCCACCGTTACTCGTGACAGCTTGACTTGTAGTCAGAAAGTGAGCTGGACGCAGGTTAGAGTCACGAAAGAAACTACAAGTCCCAATGCCGCTGATGTGAAAAACAATTCACGCCCACGATTTGCTGCGTTCACGTTGCATTCTCATCTTTGGCATTTACCTCGTAGCTGGAAAGTTGTAGATAAGATGCGCTGTATATGTGCGTGTTTGGTGAAAAAGACCGACATAGAAGACCGATACATGTTATTGGATTGTTTTTACGCTTTATAACTCCAAAAGCGCAGAGATTTTCTGAGTTATAGACGTAAAAAGACTATGCGTAATATCAACCACCATACCAAATTCTTTTGCGCAATCATCTCTCATATAACTTCTGAAATATTTTTTTTCCAATCGTACGGGCGGACATGATCAAAATTAGACACATTAAGCGTTTTCTCTCCACTTTATTAGGACTCAAAACTCAGAGTTTTACAATTACCGACTGTATTTTAAGGCAGCATTTGCCCACCACCAGCAGCAGCCATCCGCATCAAACAGCCTTCATTCAGTGAGTGGCCGCTCCGTAGAGAACAACAGGCTACCTCCCTCTGTCCTGTGTGAGTATTACAGCCCTCTGTGCCTCCAGGCTTTCCTGGAAGTTATGTCAAATTATATTTGTCGCCGTTTTTAGTCGGAGGGCCGAGACTTATTGTCGCTTCATTTCAGAAAATGTCCCGTGTTGAATTTGGGGTTTTATTTCTTTCCAAAGTCATGACTGAGACGTTTGTGGACAGCGTGGTCTTTTGTTCTCTAGGTATATTTCTCGTTTTGACAAAGGGGAGCTAGGTGTAATTTAGCCACCGCTGCGACAGTTTGACACCGATGTGACTGTTTGTTCGTGTGGGTTATTTTTATTTTATTTTTTATGGGTGGCATATTTTTTCTTGTGTAGCAATTTAGCGAGTTAATCCAGGGTGGACATATTAACACATTTCCAGAAGTGGACAGGGTTAGGTTTTGTAGCTAGGTGTATAAATGTGTCCACTTTGGAAGAAGCAACCATTTTTGTTTTAATTTCAGTCAATCAATCAACCTGTTTTTGTCTTCTTTCTAGGATGCTGCACAGCAATGGGACAAAGGAAACAGAAGAAAACCTTATGAATAAAGGTTGCTATGTAACAAAGAGCCATAAAGTGAATATCAACGTGGGATCCTAAATTAGGGGAACATCGTAAAGACAGCACCTTGTGTTTGTTTTTTTTAACCTTATAAGCTATTAATTGGAAACAATTCAATCCTCGGACAATATTCTGAAGTGTTAGGTTTAAAGTAGGTGATGTTGTGTATTCAGTCAAGGATACCATCATCACTAGTGGCTTTTTTGTGTGTGACAGAGCAGAGCTGCTGTAAATAGCCATGTCGAATAAAACATGCACATAACTAGAGGGATTAAGTCCGCCCAGCTCCTACTGGCAGGGCAGTCTTTGCTCCAGCACCCAGCCCTGCAGCAGCTCCACTCTGTCCTCATGTGGCACTAGTCACTGACTTACTGAGAGCCAGGAGTCGACAGAAGCTACATCTCCAGCCGCACCATGACTTCATCGGACAATGACGAAACGGGGAGCGACCTGTCTGAGTCTTTGGAGATCCGTGAGCTCCAGGACCAGTACGTAGACCCGGAAAACTGCTTCAAGTCCAAGAGCTTGCCCATCCTGAATGGACCCTGTCAGCCGGATCGGAGGGCTGCGGAGGCTCGCCTGGTCAACACCAAACACACCTGCGTGGCCGTGCAGGAGAGCAGCGAGCTCCAGCCCAAAACCCCAGACTCCAGCCAGGCGGAGTCTCCCTCCTCCAGGACAGACTTCTCCCCCTCTGCCTCCAGCATGGTGGGGCTCAGCAGCTCCTTACCTGTGGAGGGCCACAGGGCTGCTGGCTCCGGGGGCAAAAAACTTGGTTTCTCTCTCACCCGCCTTATCCGCATCCCAGCCAGGAAGTATGTGCGGGTCATCCTTAGGGACTCCCGCTGCTTCTTGTTCTGCATGTGCTACCTGACCTTCATTCAGTCCCTGATGGTTTCGGGCTACCTGAGCAGTGTCATCACCACCATCGAGAAGCGTTACAGTCTGCGCAGCTCTGAGTCCGGCCTGCTGGTCAGCTGCTTCGACATCGGCAGCTTGCTGGTGGTGGTCTTCATCTCCTACTTCGGGGGCAGAGGTCAGAGGCCACGCTGGCTAGCTGTGGGTGGTGTGATCATCGCTATAGGGGCAGCATTGTTCTCCTTGCCCCACTTCATCTCACCACCCTACCAGATCCAGGAGATGAACTCATCAGCCGGCCATGAAGGGCTCTGTCAGAGCGGCAACAGCAGCGGCCGTGATCTTCTCGATGTGGCATCGTGCCCTCGCGACCAGGAGGGCAACGAGCACAACCTGTATGTGACTCTGTTCATCTGCGCCCAGATACTCGTGGGCATGGGGTCAACGCCAATCTACACCCTGGGACCCACCTACCTGGACGACAACGTGAAGAAAGAAAATGCATCTCTCTACCTGGGTAAGACAATGTGGATGCACTAGTAGTTGAGCAGGAGGCTAGATCAATGGCACATGTAAGCAATGTAATCCTTTTTTTATTTTCCTTGCTCATGACTGACATTTACAAATGGAAGGAATTATGTTGCAGTTAGGTGGTTTACACAATCCAAACACAGACGACAGGCTGCTTTTCAGAGTTGAGCAGTTTCACTAGTCTTGCCCCACAGCCCTGTTGTGTGACTGTGTTAGTGGTCTCTAACACAATTAGTGTCAAGTATCCCAGCTGATTTTACTTCCCTTATAAATGGATTAGATGCTTGCATTTTGATAGATTTAGAAGAGAGATTTAAACTGGTCTGGTCTTGCCAATGTTTACCAGGAAGGGTACGTCCATGTACATACCTGCCCTCTGCAACAATGCACTCGCCCCCTCCCCTGCCCTCTGTCCTTTTTGATTTAATCTCCATGCATGCAACCTCTGCACCACAGTGAGGTAAATACAGAGACTGCAAAGTCAACCTTGGGCCAGAAGCACATGAGAGGAGTGTGGGACGAGAAGCAGAACTGGGTTGCTTATGATTAATGATCCCATACTGTGTGTGTGTGTGTGTGATACTGCTGTATCCTCTGGCTTGTGTGTTGCACAGAAGGCTGGCAACAGTAAAGCAACATGCTCCCATGTTTAGCCAGAAAAGACAAGTTTCTATTGTATTTTAAGTGTTAGCAGATTGTCTGCTGTACTCCTTCCCGAATCATCCGTACATTTCTGCACAGGTATCTTTTTCATTGGGTATGCTGAGGCTCTGCTGGCCCTAATGGTTTTTGCTCAGAAGGACTTCCTGTACGTACATACATACCACATACTCCACATAGCACATAGATGACTTTATGATTGCAGAAGTAATCCTCCTGTCTGTCTGCGCACTGTAGTTGGGTTAGTGGGACATGGGGCACCCCTCAATCTGGTGCAGTGTCTTACACAGATGGTCACTGTCCTGTGTGTAGGGCTGCATCTAATGATTATTTTTATCATCAGTTAATCTACTGATTAGATTTTTAATTGTCAAATTGTCTACACTATAAAACGTCAGAAATTCAAATTGAAAAATGGTCTTCACAGACTCACAAAGCCCAGGGCGATATCTTCAATTTGCTTATTTTGTCCCACTTAACAGACAAAACCCCCAAATGATTCACTTTCCAATCACATAATCCTCCTTAGTGTATTTTTGTTTGATAAATAACTGTAACGAATGATCGATTGTGAGTGTTGATTTAAATTTAGCTTGATCCGCTAACTGATTAATTGTTTCAGTGTGTGAGTTGTATGCAGGTGTATTATTACTGTACATGCACCCTGTTGGACAAAAAAACAACCCAGAGATGGTCGCACAGCATTAGCCATAGTGCTGACACCAGTCCTTGATCACAACATTACACACCCTATGGAGCCAATTCGCTGTTGAGTCCTTTCGCTGCCTGCTCCGCTGCCCTCGAGACTCAGTATTGATCACATCCCTGCGTCACAAGGAGCCAATGCAGCATAGCTATTGAAAAACAAGGGGAAAACAACCTCAAACACACACTTGCTGTGCCCTCACCTTGGCACGGCAGTCCGGAGCGAATGCATCAGGGCTCGTAAGGCTCATTGAGTCATTGCGGTCAAGACATCCTCCTTGTACAGATATCCATCAAAAGCAGCACTTGCTCTGGTGACCTTGATGGATATTTTCAGAGGAATCACAGAGCATGATCTGTTTCGTTCCAGCAGAGCATTGTCTGGGAAAACAAGAGACATGTTCTGACATGTTAGAGGGAGCATATACGTGGGGAAAATGTCCTTGAGTTGTATTTCAGCTGCTCACAATAACCATGGTAACTGGGCTTGAGTTTTATCTGTGACATTCTGAGGCATTTGTAGTATTTGGTGCATGAGTCCAGGTGGTGCTGACTTTAATAGAATTCATCCTGAGACATCAGGATTCTTTGTTTCACCTTTTCAAAGCTCAGAAAAAACGTATTATTGGGCAAGAATTAACATTGAAATGTTTTTTTTTTTTTAACCTCTACCTATTCCCCTTTCTCCCCGAAGGATAATTAGTACTATAAAACCTGTTAATTTCCATGTTTTGCCAAATTTTGTGGAGATGTAGGCTACCCATATCTCAAGGAGACTTCCCCCACACTTACCTCAAGGTGTTTTTTTTCCTCCCCCAAACCCATTAATGTAAACCCCATCTCAATTTACAGTGGCTCAGAGGGGAGGAGTTCCTTGCTTTTGTAGGACAATGCGGTTTACACTGAGGGGTACTTCTGGTGCCCTTGGAGGGAGAGTGTGTGTGTGTGTGTGTGTGTGTGTGTGTGTGTGTGTGTGTGTGTGTGTGTGTGTGTGTGTGTGTGTGTGTGTGTGTGTGTGTGTGTGTGTGTGTGTGTGTGTGTGTGTGTGTGTGTGTGTGTGTGTGTGTGTGTGTGTCTTTTTGTCAGGATATGTTATCTTTGTGTATGCATGCATACATAGTGGGGCATTCCCTCTGACCTGTCACCCCATTTCCCAGCTCTGGCCCCACATTGCTATGGTAATGTAACGGGCACAGCGTCGGAACCTTTACTCCACATTGTGAATAAATAGTGAAATTAGGGTATAGCTAGTTGTTTTTGTTTTTTTTCGTTATATAGTACTAGAGAATATAAAGATAAGAACTGGTGGTTCGAGTGTAGGAGTAGCCACAGTGTGCACATTTCTGCCTCTTTAATCAGTCTTTTCTCTCTTTCTGCTCTGAGTTACAACATACCATTCTTGGTGTTACTATGGAGAACGTTTGTCTTTGCCTTTCTCTTAGAAGGTGCTCCATCTTATGTGAAGGTGGCTCGTTACTTTAGATGAGGTTTCTGTTCTTCTAGTAAAGGTTCAACTGGAAGTGAACTCATTTGAAACACCACCCAGCTTTTGTTTTGTTCTTGTCTCTGCTGTTTCTAAAAGCTTCCAGTCTGTCAGCATCTCCATCTGGTTTGGCAACACAATGACCCACAAATCTAAATGATCAATAATCTTGATTCTCCTCATTGAACTGTTGATCCATTCCCTTGCACAATAGCTGTGACCTCCAGTTATGAGACGAGGTGGGTTATTTTCTTTTTCTGCACTGACAGCGACTCTGTGATTTACAAGCTGATGATGCTGAGGAGATGTTATTGATGTGGGACAAATGGAGAGGTCAGCTCTGATTAGATTGTTGTCTGCGTGTCCACATTACTTTCCAGAGGAGTCCATGCAATAAACTGACTTAAAAACAATTTAATTTAGCACCTCTGCCAGCTTTTATATCCTGGAAGGCCTAGGTTCCAACTGTAACTATAACCCTTTGTTTAAGCACTGTTGTTCTTTTATTACCTTTTTTATTGTCTAGACTTTGCAGCCTCTTTGCATACCAATATGCATGTAACCACCCACTCTACATGCAGGATAAGGTTAATTGATTCCTCCTGGCTGACAGAGTCCCACTACCTCTGCATTAACTACTTTGCACTGCAGATGACTCTGAAACTAACATACTGGTATGTGTTATTGGTGCTCATGTATTATTAATGTTTTGTTAGAAAACCCAAGGGTATCTGATGTAGCCCCGGCTTGACACAGTGGGACTGTAGAGGCCTGTTTATTTACTGAAGAGGAGGAGGAGGAAAAGGGGTGGTGCCCAGTTTAGGAAGAGAGGAGCTTTAACACCCTGCAGGGACAGCCTGAACACTGGTCCTGTCTGCACTCTCTGATACACACAGATGCACACTCTCATGCTAGTGTAAGCACAAGGGGTGTGTTCTCTGCTCTCTCCCCCTGACAAATTTAGAAAGAACAGTTGCTCTCAGTCTTTCTCCTGAGTTGTGTTTTGTGTGTGTAATATCTGTCCCCACCAGATTAGAGAAGAAAAACAGGAATGAACAATGACTTTACAGTCATACCTCAGCGTTTTTATTTTTTGTGACTCTGAGGATTATCAGTCATGGCCCCTGCACGTCCCTTTCTGTACTCACTCAGTCAATTTCATTAAATTGTGTGTCCTGTTCTGCTTAGCAGCCAAAGCAAATGCAGATTGTGCACACACAGAGGCAAACACACAAGTCCCCAGAGAACCCGGCCTTCTCCCTGACACTCTCTGCCACTCCAGGCCGACGGATCACATTTCAGGATTGGTTAGGGTACACATTTGGCCCCGTCAGAGGCTGGCACACATATAGAAGGAATCCTGGGCCTGTTTCATCACTGTCCCCTTGGCTTATTCTCAAGGAGGTTTTAAATATCTCTGCCCCCTCTCCCTCCACTCAGTCCTGTTGGACACACAAGCCCTCAGGGTTACTCAGCAGCCGGCGACCTTTTTAGCTGCAGACTGCCGGGCTGCCAGCTCTGACTATTACTATTACTACGACTCCCCTTTGAACCGCTGACCCTTCTGAGGCTGATCCTGCGCCACTGACAGTTCTGTCTGTGCTTCAAAATCTTTTTTAATGTTGTTTTTTTTATCTCCACCAACCTGCACTCCTCTCAGCCAATTCTCACTTCAGTCAGTAAGCAGGAAGAGTAGGAGTGATGGAATAAGGCAGAGAAGGTTCAGGCAAGTGTGGGAGTCTGTTTGTTTCTAGACGCAGGGGTCTTAACCACAACAACTTTAGTGTGGTCATTGCTCAACCTCATTGGCCGGTGACTTCTGGCCATTTTTCAGTGTTGTGGCCGGGTTGTTTTGACAGTGTGGGAAGGTTCCTGGGGAAATGCCACAAGAGGTTTTTTTTTTTTTTTTTTGGATTGCAGGAATTCTAAGAGACCTTTTGTTTTCAGCTATGTGGGAAATAAATGGAAATTTTTTCTTTGTTCGTGCTGGCTCTTTGGTCCATGTTGTTCCTCCAAATCCTCCTTGATCCCTGGCTCTTGTTGGCTCGGGTTAAAATTGAATGATGTTCTGAAATAGATTTGAAGTGCTTTAATTGTCACTGCACGGAAACACTGTAGGGAATTGTTTTGGGAAATTT